TGGCAGCCCCTGAAATATTGGAACACTGCTATCATGTTACCCTTAATCCTTCTTTTAATTAAACTAGACATATCCAATTCCTAAACTGCTCTTCATAGGTTTAAGCCTCCAGCCCCCTAATTCTATTTGCTCTTTTCTGCACTCTTTCCAGAGTCTCAACATCTTTTTTATATCGTGACAACCCAAACTGGATGCAACTGAACCATTCATTGCTTGATTATCTTTTCCAGAATCTTTTCCAGGTATTGATATCAGGCTGATAGGTCTGTAATTCCACGGATCCATTTTTTCCAGGGTTCAGTACTTCCTCTGCTGCTGTGTAACATCTAAATTATGCTGCTGAGGTCATTCATCTTCATGGAATGAGATACCGCCAGTGTACTGATGATATCAAGCTGTACATCTCAATATACAGCTTGGTATCATCAGTACACTGATGGTAACTCAGTAGAGACACCACCTAGAAAACATAGTGATGCTGTTGATGTCCTGTCTTGGGCATGTCTGGAGGGTCTGGAGGTTTGGGTGGAGAACAACAGGTTTCAGCTCAATTCTAGCAAGACTTGGGTTTGGGGAGCTTCAGATTCCAGGAACATAGTGACAGACACAAGTAACCAGGAACAGGAGTTGAGTTCAAAGCACTAAAATTTTATCACATGCTACTTATATACAAGAATCTGAATCAAGCCAAACTGGCCCTAGATAAGGGTCAATGGAATTCACAGAGGGCTGGACTTGGGTCTCTTATGGGAACGCAAATACTCCAAACTGATGACCCATTTAATCCCACTCTCAAGCTCAGCCTGCTCCTACACCTATTATCTTTGGTACTGGCAGGGATAGCACTGCCCCAAACAGGCTCTATGCACAACTTCGGAGAGCTTCTTAATTTGGAACTCCTTCTCAATAAACAGATGACATTTGTGGTTAGGAGAGCCTGTGCACAAAATTTGGGTTTTCTACCACTTGCACCCATTCCAGGGAGTTCTACTGTCAGTCATTCATGCTCTGGTCACCATCTGAATGGATTACTATAATGTATGCTATATGGGGCTGTCCTTGAAGAGCATCCAGAAGTTGCATCTTGTGCAGAATGTAGCAGGACAGGCGCTTATTTATTTATTTAGAAAATTTATATAGCCACCTACTCGCTTACAGCGACTCTTGGTGGCTTACAAGCAATAAAACACAGTATAGAAAAAAATAAAAATAGACAATAAACAACAATAACCCACCCACCCACGGCGACAACACACAGTCAAATAAGCCATTTGATGGGCTCCATCCCACTCTGGGTTCCTCAGGCCCACTGGCAAAACCAAGTCTTCAGGGCCTTACAAAAGAGTGTTGAAATGGGGGCCAGCCTAATTTCTGAAGGGATGATATTCCAAAGGGAGGGAGCCACCACAGAGAAGACCCTTCTTCTGGGTCCTACCAGATGGATGGGACCCACAACATTCCTACCCTCCCCCTCTAGTTGGTCGGATGAATATGACTGGCAAGAGATGGTCCCTCAGATAACCTGGTCCCCAGTCATGAAGGGCTTTAAAAGTGACAACCAGCACCTTGAATTGCACCTGGAAGCAAATCAGCAACCTATGCAGTTCCCACAGGAGAGTGACACATGTGCACACTGAGGTTTGCACAAAACCAGGCAGGCCGCTGACTTTTGAACCAGCTGGAGCTTCCAGATGCTTTGTGTGCGCTCCTAGATCAGCACACGTGATACCTCTGCTCCATGAGTTGCATTGGTTGCCAGTTTATTTCCAGGTTCAATTCAAAGTGTTGGTAATGACCTATATAGCCCTCAATGGCATGGGATCTGTCTTTGGAACATCATTCCTCTTCAGTTTAAATTAGCCCTGGCTTTACTGATCTTCCAGAAATCTTGGTTTGTCAGCAGGACTGGAGGCCCAGCAGAGGGAGGAAGCCTGCAAGATGGTTGCACTGTTTCCACTGTATGGATTGTACTTTCCTGCAGTTTAGTTTCATTGTTTTTAATGGTTTTATTTGTTTTGAATGTTTATTTGTAAATTAGTTTATTGTTTTTTGTTATTTTGATTTTGTGCTCCCCAGAGTCACATAGGTGAGATACGCAGCTATATAAATTGAATAAATAAATAGATTAAACTTTAATTATTAAAGTGAGTGCTATTGTGTATTAACCCAATTTCATAGGGCTGTTATAAACGCTTAATTGAAGATGTTCAATTCAAATCCTTTACTGTCTGTATATATATTGCAAGCCTGTATTTTGGGCAGGAATGTATACTTTAAACCAGGGCTTTTCACCCATTGTACCACTTTTAGGATATGGCAATATCCGAGTACCACCAGTCACCTAGCAAGGTGTCAAAAACTTGATGACCCCCCCCCAAAAAGAAAAAGTGATAAAGTACAGGTAGTCCTCAACTTACAACAGTTTGCTTAGTGACTGTTTGAAGTTACAATGGCACTGAAAAAAGTGCTCCCCAAGCCACAGCCGAGCAAGACACCTAGCTCACCCGGCGGTGCTCTTCCTCCTGTCTGAGGTTTTCATTGTTGTGAGCATTTCTGTTGAGGATTGGCAGCAGGGGTGGGGTGGGGGGGTGTTTGGTTTTTATTCCCCGACGGCTGGGTGGTTGCAGCAGGTTTTGGTCACTTCACGTGATCCTGGGACACTGTGACCGTCATAAATATGAATCAGTTGCCAAGCATCTGAATGTAAATCACAAGACCCTGGAGATGCTGCAACATTCCAGCTGATCGGCGCTTCTTCTGGGCTCAGCAGAAGCACCAGGATCAGCTCCAAGCTCCAGCTGGAGCCTGGCGCTGATCCTGGTGCTTCCACTGAGCCCTGACAGCCCCAAAGAAGCGCCGATCAGCTGGAAAGCGGCATTGATCCTGGCACTTCTGCTGAGCCCTGACAGGCCTGCAACTCCAGCCATCTCTCGCTCAGGCTTGTGTGGTGCTGCCACCAGTTCAGCTCATTCCCCTCCCCCGTTACCACTTTTCTAGGATGGTCGCATACCACCTGCCACGTGCTAATGTACCACAGGTGGTACTCCTACCACTGGTTGAAAAGCTTTAAACTTATTGGCTGCCCCCTAGTGGCGATCCGTATAAATAGGAGTCAGGCGGCTGTTAGAGCAGCTTCTGTGTTGATTGAATAAACGAGCTGTTACTTTCACTCCGGTCTCTTCAATGCCTCCCCGTTCTCAGAAAAAACAAGTGCAGCTGTATTTTTTTGTCCAAGCCTAACTCCAATGAAATAATTAATTTGGGGTGGGGTGGGGAAGCTGTCACAAAAAATCATGCATTTTTGTGTGGGGGGGTCACGATACCCCAAAACTTGAGAATGGGTGTGGGGCTATACGTTAACTGAAAAAGGTGACAGAGCAGGGTGGAAGCTGGCATGAAGCAGAAATCACTGAGTCTGCATTTAGATGGGATTAAGGAAGGAGAGATACTTGTGGCATATGTTATGGCACTTTCAAACAACACATATATTACAAGGTAAACATCATGGGTTTTATGCCTGAAGGTTTATCTTGAGTCACAGATTACTGAGGGAGGGGGAATGAAGAAAGAATTGTAAATGGTGAATTAAGAAGGAAATACCTGATAACAGCTATTATCAGGTAGCAGACGTTTTATGGCAAAATTGCCACAGTTAATAAGATAGTTATCACCATTGCACTTTCATTCTTGTTTGATCTGCCTATTTGTGTTGCTTTTTCCAACGATATGATTCAGCATATCTCGTTGTGCTTCATTTGGCAACAGTAGCTCCCAAATCCCTTTTCAAAGATCCAACAGTCTTTTTCAATGACATGGAAAATTTCAGTTTCCCTCCACTCTGAAGCAGGAAACACATTAAAAAATATAGCATAAACCTACATTAGCCTATTGTCTCTCTGGACTGCAATTAAATTGTGCTCTGTAAAGGGGTTGTGGTGCATTGATAAGATGGTGGACTGGTTGGCATAGATGCTTACTGGTCCAATCACGCTTACTTGGTCCCATCCCTTCACTGGATGGTTGTGGGTGGAGGAAGAGTGTATTTCATTGTGGTGCTCAGAGCTGTGATGGTGCAGTGGTTAGAATGCAGTACTGCAGGCTAATTCTGCTGACTGCCAGCAGTTCGATTCTCACCGGCTGAAGGTTGATTCAGCTTTCCATGAGAAACCAGATTGTTGGGACCAATATGCTGAAGGTTGATTCAGCTTTCCATGAGAAACCAGATTGTTGGGAGCAATATGCTGACATTGTAAACCATCCAGAGGTAGATAAGTCTTAGTGCTATTGCTACTGCTATACTGTATGTTGCCTTGAGCTTCTGTATGAAAATTAAGATTAATAAGCAAGTGACTAAATAATTGATATGTGTCACAGAAGACTGGGGCACTTAATTCTCCTTGGACATGGTTAGGACTTGAATGGAAGATCACCAGGCAAGTTGAACAAAACAAGGGCATATTCTTTCTGTATGCTATCCAGAAGACAACACTGATGTGTTTGTGTAGTCACCTAAAGCTGAATTTGACTCAAAAGAATCTTTCTTTTTTTATTGTTACTATTGCACCTAGGGAAACCTCTGTGATTGTTAGAATAAAGAAACACAAAATCCAGCTTTTAAGATGGCTGTTTGGAGCCAAGGGAGGAAGAGTTGATCTAAAGCGCCTCAGTGACTTCTTAAATTAACATTCAAGGATGAACTCGTTTCTTGGCCTTCTTCCAAAAAGCTCAGGAAATAATACACAGATGTAAACAGATACACTTTTTTTTTTTTACCATCATAGCTCTCTTGCAAAGAGTAGGTTGAAAGCGAAAGCCAGTACAGTAATTAGCTCCAGGTCTCCCAGTCATAAGCTTTGTAGCTGATTGAGATCTCTCACTTGATGTCCCAGATCCAAACTCCTACATAGACAGCTCTGGGGCTCAGGTCAAAAAATGTTTTTCAGGCATGCAATATTGCTTCGATTCTTTGAATTCATCTTTTGCTTTACCTTCTTACCCAGGTTGCAAACTCATCTTCCCTCCTTGGGACGGTGGGATCCGCTACAGAGGCCTGACCCGTGAACAGGTGAAGACCGCCCACTTCCTTCCTTTCGACTATGAGATTGAATACGTCTGCCGTCCAGAGAGAGAAATTGTGGGGCCCAAAGTACGAAAATGCCTCCCTAACGGGACCTGGACAGACAGTGAGGTTCAAAGCCGCTGCTGTGAGTCACACCTGGAGTGTCTGAGGCTTTCCGCTGTGGTGCTCAAAGTGGGTGGCGTGGATATGTGCGGGTGTGAAACTTTCTGGTGGTTATGGAAACTGTCCTGGCTTGGGCTAAAAGCACCAGGCCTTGGGGAACAATGGGAGACAAAATAGCTTAGCTTTCAGTGCAGTCCAGAGCTTCTAGATGAGCTGCACCTGCCACATTGGACAGATTTCTATTTATTTCATTTAGCTAATTTCCTGCTCTCCAAATATCTTCTGCAACTAACTTCATCCTACTAGGCAAGGTGTTTTTTTAAAAAAAGAAAGAAAGAAAAAACAACCTTGCAGCTTTATTCTTTTTCAGTTTCACCTTATTTCATCATGAGAGCATTCATGTGGAAACAGCATAATCCATGAGGAAGTTCTTTAACACAGGGAGAATATGATGGGGAAAGCTTGACCTGTTGGATTCCTGCTTGTTGTGCAAAGACTCTTGCTCTGTGGGGTGGTTGGGGGAGGTAACTGAAAGGAAGCACTCAATAGGTCGAACAAATCCTGAGCTTAGCACTTAGGCCACAGGTCTGGCATCAGCATGCAAGACTGAAATTGTCTTCAGGTGGCAGGCAGCTATAAATGGTCATTTTAAATTTCTTAGGAAGCTCCAGAATACCCACACAAGTGTGGGGAATTTACAGTGCCAACTTACATTTGCTTGTAGCTTGTGTCCATTAAGTTTGGACTCATCAAGATGGGTGACAGTGCACAAAGGAATTTTGCAGAAGATGCTTTCAGCTTTGAAAATGTGAATAGCCTAGCATAATGCAGGATTTCCCAACCTTGGCAACTTTAAGACCCGTGGACTTCAATTCCCAGAACCCCCCAGCCACCAATTTCTGTCCACATGTCTTAAGGTTGCCATGGTTGGGAAACCCTGACAATGGAATTACTGAACAGTCAAATTCCTGTCGCAAAGATACATTAATTTTGTGTCCAGGTAGCCACAGACTTATACAGCGTGAAGAGCTAGTTTGTTCATGAAGCAGTGCCAAGCTATGTACAATAATACCCAATATTTCTGAAACGAATACTTCTTTTTCTACAGTACTTACTTGTCCCAAGATGCATCTGAACCTGGAGAATGGGCAAGTCACTGTCCGGGCAATTGAACGGGTGCCTGTTGAAGGCACATGGGTGGAGTATCGCTGCAATCCTGGCTTTTACCTAGTGGGCAGTCCCCGCAGCAATTGCACCAAGGTGGGCCGCTGGAGCTCCACCAAACCTGTTTGCGAGTGTAAGTCATAAGGCAGGAGAGCAGAGTTGGGGAATCTTAGAGACATAGGGAAGGTTGATTTGGAGCAGAAGGTTTGGGGGAAAAAGTAGTATTCAAGATTGTTAACTTCAGAAATTCTGGGAGAAAAAAAAATTGTGATAGATCAGTGGTGGCGATCTATGGCACGCGTGACAGAGGCAGCACTCAGAGCCCTCTCTGTGGGCACGTGTGCCATGCCCCGGAGATGGCAACCGTCCCTCTTCAACTAACCGCCCATTAACTCGCCGAAGTCCCACATGTCTGGATGCATCCCAGCACCCATGCGCTCGCTGGCCTGTGTGTGTAGGGGCCGATGGTGTCAGGCAGCAGCCGCCCCGGCCCCTGCCTCACCTTGCCCTGTGACAATGGCACCCCCACCCTGCCTCACCTTGCCTCGCCTCACCCCGCAGGACGAGCCTCCTGCCCACCGCCCCACCTGCCAGACCCCCTGGATCTCCCCCACCCTGCCTGGCCCCCACAGGTGTCCCTCCCCATGAGCAACATTGAGGTGATCACGCCTACCTTGGCCACACCCACCCAATCTGCCATGACCACAGCCACGCCCATCCAGTGGGCCATGCCCACCTGGCATCTGGCAATAAATAAGTGGGTTTTGGGTTGCAGTTTGGACACTCGGTCTCTAAAAGGTTCGCCATTACTGTGATAGATGGACTTAGAGCAGTGTTTTTTCCCAACCCTGCCATGTGCAGACTTCAACTCATCTTTAACACATTTCAAGGCTGCCAAGTTTGAAAAAAACACAGATTTAGTCTGAGTTTTGCAGTAGTCATATTTGGTGGGGCTTTTTTGTATGCTCTAGTTTTCTTTGCATTGGAATATTATTCCTAGAACTTCATTTTAGCTCATGGTGGTGAGTAATTTCCTGGTAAACTGAATGAGAGTACTCCAGCAGCCCAACCAGTAATAGCGCTGATGGCAAAAATCAGTCAGAATAAAATAAGTTCACAGCAGACCCTTCTCCTTTATTGAAACTGCTTCCATACTACCTTTCTCGGGGCATGAATTCAGAGTGACTTCCCTAACAGTGCATCGTGCAACAAATGAAAAATATGCAGTTCAAAATTACAGTTGAATCTATTAGCATCAAAGAAAGCATCAGCTGGGGAGAAAAAAAATAATATGTAAAATAACACAGCCAAAAAAGCAATCAATTAAAAGCCTCCTCTATCAATTAGGCCTCTCTCAAAGGTCTGAAAGAAGGAAGATAGAGTGGGAAACTTATTTTAAGCTTGTGGGCTTCATTCTGCTAACTGGACAGGAGATAGGCATACCCTTGACAAGTGGGTGGAATCAGGGAGCAGAACTGTCCCCCACATCTCATCTATACATGCCTTCAAACTCATTGATTCCTATACATTCCTGTATAGCATACATACACCTATACACACTCCTTTATATTTTCCTTTAAGCATGCTCTCTCAGGCACATACATGCAAATTCATACGCCCTCAACTCATGCCATTGTTAACAAAAAGTCTTTTGATGGGGTTCAACGGAAGGCCTTTTTCAAGGCTAATCATACTGAGGATGATAAAAGATGAAATGCATTTATCTGCCTCTCCCCATAAAATATATCAAAGTTCTTTACAATCAGGTTTAAAAAGAGTAATGAAATGTTTGTAACAGTAAAAAAAACCCACATATATTTATATTAATGTGGAAGACGGAAAGAAAAAATACATTTAAAAAAATTGCCTCAGCTACTCATATAAGGAAGGCCACGATTAGTCATCTCAATCCATCCAGGCTCAAAACCAGATTGAATCCAGCAAAGGCAACAGGATTATCAGTTATGGGTTGCAAAAATCCAGATGATCATTAAATGACAACAAAGTAGTAAAGTTTCCTGTGTCTTTTTGCCATACAGAAAATCATTGACCTACAACTATTTGCTTAATGACTGTTCAAAGTTACCAGCAGTCTTATAATAACCATTGGAATGTCTCCGGGATCCCATGATTAAAATTTGGGTGCTTGGCAACCAGCATGTATTTATGATGATTACAGCACCCTGGGGTCGCATGATCACCATATGTGATCTTCCTAGCTCAGGGGTAGGCAACCTTGGCTTTTTTATGACTCGTGAACTTCAATTCCCAGAATTCTAGGAGTTGAAGTCCACGAGTCATAAAAGAGCCAAGGTTACCTACCCCTGTCCTAGTTGGCTTCCAAAAAGCAAATTTAATGGGGTAAGTTAGATTCACTTAATGATCATGGCAAAAAAAAAAAAGGTTGTAAAATTGGATAAGACTCACTTAACAATCACATCACTTAGTAACAGAGGTTCCCATCCCAATTGTGGTCATAAGGTGAGGAATACCTGTCCACATATTTGCAACCTAGTTCCCATTTATCCGTTGGACTTGGTACTTACTTGTCTGTTGAAATTTCAGTCGATACGTCTGCTTAGAATAAATTTTAGGGATCCTCAATGTTATTAAGCAGCTTTATTGGTGATATTACTAAGATAATGAGCTGTCTGCCAACAACAGCCACTCACAAATCATTTAATTTGGCATGTGAAAGAGTATATTCTTGTGATATATTGTACTGGCACACTCTTTGAGAAAGGGTGAATATAGTTTCCCAGATCTTTCTTGGCCCTCATCCCTTTCTCTTCCTGTTTCTGTGCAGTGTGGCGTCCTCCTGTTTCCCGGTCTGGATCAGGTGAGTTGATTTCTGTTTTGCCTGCCATCCTTGTTCCCACATGTCTACAAAGCTCACTTCATCCCTTTGTGTTCATGAATATTGGGTGTGTCTTGCATATTTCTTGAAGGTCTGCAACTCTGGCAGCCTGTTCCAGCTGACATTAATAGGTGACAAGGCTTTGTTCTCTCTGAGATCCTGATCACAATAGTTAAGCTTATTCTTTGGCAACTACACCATTCTTTAACAACCACACTACACATGTAAGAGGGGTGTGTCAGCATCACACAGAGAACATACATGTTTAAATTCTTCACTAATCCCAGAACAATCTACATCTCCAAGCAACTGTCACTTAGTTTAGAGTTTTTATGAGACCAAGTTAGTACAGTGTCAAGATATACTTGGCAAATATGGATGATAAATAGGCAGGTCAACATGGGCTTTGGAAGAAATTGGCAATAGCCGTGATTGATGTTCTTGCCACACTATCCAATTTTTTTTTTTAAAAAAAGAACCCTTCTCTATCAGATTAGCACATTTCTTCACAAAATGTACTTTTATCTTGTACTTCAATTTGTTCACCCTCATTCATGCCAAAACCAAAACTCAACAGCGTCCTTTGAATTAGTGGGTAGAAAACAGGTTGAGTTGACAATATCATTAACACCCTCAAACAACAACATCTGCCTATTGCAGGTCCTTGGGAAGGACTTGATAGATGGATTAAAAATGCCGAAACTACTCTAAAGGTCAGGCTGACTGTGCGATCAACAACAAGCTTGATTCTGAACAATTCTGGGCAGCTCACAGCAATCGAACAAAGAAGTTACAATCAAATCAATCGAATATAAAAATAAAAAATGGCATGTGCGATGAGACTAGAGGTCTCAATTTCCCTCATCAAACGTCTGGGTTAAGAGTCAAAGGTTAACCTATACCTTTGGATCATTTCCCGAGGTGGTTTCTTGTTAATGTGCATTTTCTTGGTCATTCCATTTTATTACAGGGAATAAAATGGAACATTTCAAAACCTATATGGCACAACAAGAATCCCTAACTAAACAAAGAGAATCAGATTCCCTGTGAAGTTGTTCCTTCCAGTCCCAGCCAGACAATTCAAAGAGACCAGGATTCTCCATTTTATATACGCTGCCCTTCAGGCACCTAGGAGCTTTGCAATTTCTTTTGCATTCCTACAGCAACTCTGTAAGTGACAATAAGCTGAAAAGGCATGATCTGTTTTCTTTGGGTTGTTTTTAGCATTCAGAAGAGATACAGATACTCTTTCTTGTGCTTTTAATGCATCTCCGCTCTCACTTTATGGGCTTTGTCCATTTTGCTGAAAGGGGGCATATCTGCCCAGAATTCTTGATCTCCGATTCTTTCTGCTGCAACTTTGTGGTCAGACCCTCTGCAGGGATCTTTCTGCCTGCGTATTTTGTCTCTCAGTCAAGTTGGTTGCTGGGAGGCCATTTCCTTCTCTTTTTCTCTCTTTTTTCATCCAGATCTTATTTTTTAAAGCTATGAAAAGAGAGATCCCTTTCAACCCCAGGTTGAAACTCTCCAGCTTGACTCTTTGATAGGTAATGCTTGCAGCCCCCTTCCCCCCCAGTTGCCAGATGTCTTGGGAGACTACTTGTTCTTCTGCTTAATGTGAGTCATGAGCTGGGAGGCACTGGGGCCACTGGATTATGGGGTGCTGTTTTCGCCAGTTTTGTCTCATTACCTTAGAAAAGGTTTTTCAAAGTCTTGGGCAGAACTGGGCCTTTTCAGTCTTTCCAGTAGAAGATTATCAGAAGCTGAACATGGAACCCTCTATTTTTAAAGCTTGCCTTCTCAGCTCTGCAGCTTTGGCGATATTGGTTGGGGATTATGAGAATTGAGGTTCAACATTGGTGGAGGGCATCAGGGTGGAAAATTAGTATTAGCTCTCTGTGGTGAAAGAAAAAATTGCTGGGAGCCATACAGCACTGAATATGGTTTGAATAAAAAGATGTATTTTCTAGGAAGTCAAAACTTTTGGAATCTAAGCTTGCTTTTCCCCACCTACACTCTATTGGCATCTAAAGGGGCATTGCTGTAAACTCTGAGGAAGCTGCCTTATTTCAGATCAGAAGATGCCTGTGTGTAGCTGAGGGCCATCTTTGCTAACAAGGCTGCAGTTCTCCCTCACTCTGAGCTCTCCTTGGACTGAAGATCTTTTAATGGGCAAAATGTCCAGGCTACAAGCCTTTCCTTCAGCCAGTTGTGTTTTATGCACAAATTAGGAGCTACATCTTTATTCATATTTTATAGTATCTTGCCTTGATCTTTGAGACACAGAATTTCAATTGCTGATCCTGCATATAAAGGGTTGCCTCCTGCTTCTTCTGTCATTTCTTTCATCCATCTCTCCTTAAAAGAATTTTTTTCCGTGTTTTATTTATTTAACTAGTTAATTTAGAAGTCATAAACCCTTGTCTAAAGAATACAGAATGGGGCATATCATTCAGGTTTGCATTTTGATAGTAGATTTGAGGTATTAGAGGTGCTCTGTGTAAAGGAAGCCACATACTTTATCCTCATGTTATTTTTTTTTTTTTGATTCCTCCTGCATTACTATTTTTTTTATTAAAAGTTTTACAAATTACAATATAAACCCCTCCCACCCAATCCCACCCCTTCCCCACTTCCCAGAGCTGATTACAGGGTAACAAATAAACAAACATAATCTAACTAACATTAACCAACTATACTATCAATCAAAACCATAACACACTAACTCCTTTTCAAAGCAAATATTAACAAATTAAAAACGAAAATAATAATATAATTAAAACTATTAATAATTATCTAAAATCCTCATGTTATTGACAAGCTGAGGAGAGGTAGGTTCATCTGAGACCAGCTGAATAAGTGAAGCAAAAATATAATTAGGAACTTCTCTGCTGATAGCTTAAAAAAATGAGGCAAAACGTGATCCATGCACATACCTCTAAGAGAGTCACATATTGGTAGTTAAGTAATAGTGCAGCAGGCCCCAAATTAAACAGAAAAAAATCTGCATTTATATTATTATTGTTGTTGCTCTTATTATCATCAGCCAAAATCAACCCTCCGTAAGATGAAGTCCTCTTCAGTGAAGATTATGGACCATGATCTACCACATTAATTAAGTTTGAGTTGTAGATAGATGTTTTTTAACTTCCTTATCACACCCACCCACCCAAATATATACAGAGGGGCCTACTTACATCTTATTTCTTTTTTGCAAATGCCAGGTTTAGTTTGGAAAATGGTCAGTGATGGTTGCATGTTTTTTCCTGCACTTTCTTAGATGTATGGGAAAAAAAAATCATCATTACCTATGGAAGTAAAGCAAGAGATGTCAAATATCTTTACTAAATCATGAATCTCGATGGGTATCTTTAGGACAAGTCACTCTCTCTCAACTCAACCCAACTCATGGGACTGCTGTTAAAACAATATGAAAGAACCCCCTGCCTATCTGTTATCTTGAGTTTTCTAAGGTGATAACAAATGTTCTTTCCAAAATTTTAGTATGCTTTTACATTAAGCACCCGCCTGCTAACTCTCCCTCTCTTCCTCTATCAGTTGCTAGATTGCTGAAACCTTTGGTCTGTGCATTTGTAATACTTGCTATCTAGGCATGCTGCCAAAACCATTCCCCAGAAGTGAATAATCCCAGGCTGGGCCATAAATTATAAGGCTATACATCCTGTGGAACTTACCATCGTGTTGTGGTTCTCCACTGTTCCATTCATGTTCCTTACAGCTGCCAGAAAGTGTGCAGAGAAATAGAAGCTGTATCTGAAGACTAATGGCACGAATGATTCCATGTCTGGCAGCCAGGTCAGGGATTAATCCAACTGAGAAAAAATGGCTTGAGGCCCTGCAGATCCATGGTAGCAAACATGATGCTTCTCAGGCTTCTAAGAATACTCCTGTATCATGCTTGTTCCATTTCCCAGTCATTCAGATCCAATATTCTGATGTAGACAGTATTTTTATCTAATATACTGCCATCATATTGTGATTTTCCACAGTATGTTCCTCATATCACATACTGGATTTATATTCAGGTTTGCAGGAGCCTGTGGTTGTTCCCAGTGTGGACTTTGCAAATATCTGAGCTGATTAGTATCTTGCTTGTTTTGCAGCAAGACAAAAAATAATAAAACTATAGAGCTGCCTAACCAACAATCCTGGAACCTATTGTAAGGGCATCAAGAACTGAGGAATAAGGCAATTTCTTAGCCTCAGGATGGAGGCAGTTCCAAAAAGCCAGCCCTCCCACTATGAAATTGGTCTAGTTACAGTATGATTGTGGTCCACATCAGTTCCCTCCATACTATGAGACTGGCCCATATGCAAGCCCCTGAAAGAGTTCCAGTGTCTCAAATGGCAAAATAGAAATTTGAGATAGTTGAACTAGAAGAAAATTTGACATGGACATTTAGCTAAAATGGAAGCTTGGGGATTATGTTGTAAACCGCCCAGAGTCATTGGATATGAGATGGGTGGCAAATAAATTTCATAAATAAATACATTTGGGGCTCACATATGTGGAAAGTATCAGATTAGGCTGGGCTGTGTGAATGCTGCCTTGGCTAGACAGGCAGATAAAAAAGTTGACCTCATTATTTGCAGGGCAGCTTGTTTAAAAGCATTAGACTTTGAAGTCATTCAATGAGGTAATTTCCCCTTGGGATTTTAAAGGACACAGTGGACCACAAGTGCTTTTCACAGAGGCATAACTTCATACTGCTGTGGGGTTTGTTTGGTTTTTTTGGTGTTCTACAAGCGGAGGATCAGATGGCTTCCTCCTTTACCCCAGCATGCGTGAGCAGTTGGCATAGGAGCCAGACTTGGGTTTTCTTTAAAGGCAGGTGTCTCTTGCAGATTGCAGCAGTTGTCCAACCCTGATTAGGCTTGGAGCTAAGCAGGACGGATCTGATAGTACTTGAATAAAAAAATCACCTAGTAATTCCAGTTCTTCCATATGATTGCCAAGAACATGCCAGGAATATGTGCACATCCACTTGAAGAAACTTAATTTTAAATAGGAATTAGGGTTGTCACATTGCAACCCAAGCATGAGACACATTAAATCATCTAACTGCTATTGGAGATAAGGCAGCCATAATTCCTCCCTGTTCCTCTGGGGCTTAGTGCCCCTTTTTCCCCATAAGACCTCACATTAATTGCCTAACAGAGGCAGAGTGGACCTTAAGATAGGGAAGAAATAGATAGGAAAATACCCCCTGCCTCATCTGTCATGCCATTGGTAGCTATGGGACTAGGGTTCAGATTAGAAGGTGACAGCCTAAACATAGGAAAAGCATATTCCCTAGGACAGCTATTTCATTACTGGAAAGAGAAATGCCAGGCAAATTTTAGAATAGATTTCAACATCCTTATACTCTTATCACATCTGGGGGCACCAGGTTTCAAGAACCGACTCTAGACTAGGCTTCTGTTGCCAAGCCCAAATCTACCAGTGGCAGTAGGATACGGTTGCCTAGCAACTGTCACATTCTTCATTCACCAGCTCTGCCCCTCAGAGTAGCTACTGCTGAAGGCCAGCTGTTTCAATAGAGGAATGGGGAAACAGCTGGCAAATGTCTTTTGATAAGTCTTCTATTGATGCAGTCCAGAATATGCATCAGACTTCTTGTATTCTTAATACTGTTGCACATACACTTCTCTTCTATTATCATTTGAGGCAATACCTTTCACAAGATATAGCCAAGAAAAATGGAATCTCCAAATATTCTATCTATAGCCTTAACACCTTGCTCTGTGAGCTGAAACAGGCTGCTTGATGTGTGTTTGTGTGTGTGTGCTCTGTATAAAGGGACACATTTATCTCCTGGCCATTTTGGAAAGCGGTCCTCCAGGAGATGATGTGAATTATAATTTGACCTATCAAAATCCTGACAGCCCAAATTCCAAATCCTTTTTCCTTTTTCCTCACAAGACTTCACATTAATTGCCTAACAGAGGCAGAATGGACTTTAAGATAGGGAAGAAACTATGATGAGAATCTAAGGAGTTACAACAGGGAAACTGGACACAGGATGGAACAGGGGCTCCATTACCAGGTGGCAAACCTTTGCTTTTCCACTTGTTTTTCCTCTTCCACATAATCCTTTCTTACAAAGCCTCTGTTTCCCTACAGGGGTGAACACTAAATAGGGGGTGCAGGGAGCCCCCCCTTTTTTATTTCTGTTCCTTTTCCAGACACCTCCGCATGTGTCTCTTTGCCATGGAAATGTCAGCAACCAGCAGGGAGAGGAATTGGTGATATACACTACCTCCTCCCCATTTCTCAGAGCTGGGGAAAGAGCCAAGGACTTCTACAATGCAACCCCCCCCCTCCAAAAAAACAGCACAAGTACCACTATTCTAATCAATTTAGCCCCCCTTTCAGAAAACCCAGGAATCCTGTCTCCCAGAGTCTCCATGCTAGGCCCGACATCCAACTTTGCTGCCCTGATAATTGTGTTGCAGAATGGAGACACTACAACTGGGTTTACTTCCTTTGGTGCTATTTATCTGTGAGTAAGATAACCTAAAAGAATATTGTCCCTTCTTCTGGCCACCTAGATTAGGACTGCGTGATCTGGGCTACAAATATCCAGGCACCCAATAGGTGGCAGCAAAGATATAGGAAAAGTTGTAACTCAACTATTATCTATTGGTGGTTTGGACTTACCAAGCTCAGAATTGGTACCTCTGTAACGCTAGACCGGCTCCCTCTGCATGTCAGAGTTGCTGCTTTATTGATGGCTATGATTTGCTGATCTGTCTGAATTGCTGGTTGTTGTTCACCATTTCCACAGCATCCTTGCCTCAATTTTATTTCCATCACTCAATGCTTCCCTGCTTCCCTTCTGGTGTGTTTTGATAAATCCCACTGCTTTTTTCCCCCTCCCTCCATGCCTGTTTTGCATCCTTGCCTCCAGCCTTTCTTTGTCAGCCTTTTTGTGCTTTGTGTGTGTCTTTGTAAAGCCTCTTCACTTTTCTTTACCGCCTCCTTTCCCCACCTCTTTGACTCCCATCCTGCATTGTGTTTCTTTATATCTGCTTTTCTATCTGGCTCTTGCTTGTTAACTGCATCTGTCATTTTCCTCTTTCTGTGTTCCTGACTTTAACTGCACTTCTGTTTGTTCTCCTCTGTCCTCATTAGTCCACCTTCTACCTCAGCTGTTTTGTTTCTCCATCCTTCCCTACATCTAATTTCAACTATCTTTTTCTTGGAGCCTCACTACACTTTTCTCATCTTCCCTCTGTTTTCTCTGCTCTTTCTCTTCTGCTCTTATCTCCACATAATTTCTTCATTCTTTAACTGCCCCCTTTTCCAGAGTCCATCTTCCAACATGCCAGCAAATATGAGTAATACAGAAGCATGTTGCTAGTCACAGTGCAGGGCCTGGTATTTTACTCTGAGTTTTCTGGTTTCTTCGCCTTTTTAAAAAATACATGTTTCTTTTCTTTAATCACCCTTCCAACATCTTTATCACTTCCCTCCCTGCATAGCTTTTCTTTATCCAAGCTTCTATCTATCATTCTATCTTCAGATCTCCAACTTGTATCAGACATTCCTTTGGACTTCCATCAGTTTCTGGTCTTCCATCATCCTAACCTAGCCCCCCCATCTCAGCCCATATTTTTTCCAATGAACTCCAAATCCCCAACCTCTCTTGCTCTGTCTTTCATCTCTTTACCTCCTAATCCCTATTCTTGTCCTTCTATTATTCTTTCTCCACATATCTCCAAAACATTCCAGACTCTTCCTTCATCATTTCATCTTGCCTCCTGTTGGTCCTCCCCCCCCCCCTTTTCTGATTAGGACTTAAACCTGTCCGCTGAATTTCCATTTCTCACACCACTCTGAATCATTACCTAATTAGGTTGCCTCCACATGATCCCGACTCCTTTCCTCAGCTCCCAATAATAAAGTTCAGCCAAACTTAGCCTGCTGGGTAACCCCAGCTATTATAGTAGTTCTTGGAGGGATTTTGCTGGATAAATTTTGGCCAATCTGCCTAATCCATTCCTTTGGCATCTTCCTGTTCTCCATCTGTGTCTGTCTGTCTGTCTCTCTCTCTCTCTCTCTCTCTCTCTGTGTGTATATATATATATGTGTGTGTTTACTAATCTCAACTCTGTTCCTCGTGGCTCTGGTCTGTCTCACTTGAATCCTTTATGTTAGACCTCTTTCATAGCGTTCCTAGCTCCGTTCATCCTTTGCCTTCTCCATCATCTCTGCCTTTTCTCTGCCTTTCTCATCCATTTGCTCTTCATGCTTCTCCCATCGCCCTAACCGTCTCCTAACCGTCTGCTCTTTTCTTAGCGCCTTTTTTTTTTTTTTGCCTTCCTCCACCAACCCTGCATTTCGTTCCCTCTTCGACCTTCCCCACCATCGCCGCGTTTCCTTTGCCGCCTCGCTCCCTCGCCCGCCCGCCGCCCCTGCGACGAGGCGGTGCGGGGGGCTTATTGCAATTCCCCCCGCGCCCTTGGACGGCGGCGTTCCGCGCCGGCTCCGCGCTGACATCAGCCCCCGCCCCCTCCTCCCCCTCCTCCCCCTCCTCTCCCCCCTCCTCCTCTTGGCTGGCTCGATCGCCAACACGCCCGCCCGCCCGTTCGCTTACTGCAGCACCGACGCCGGGCAGCGCCATGGAGGAGCCGGCTCCGGCGCCCTCGCCGCCGCCACCGCCGCGCAGTGCAGCCACCACCGCGCGCCCTCCCCGCCGTCGCCCCTGACCTCCGGCCGGCACCATGGCCTTACCCGGCCCGCGGCCCGGCGGGGGCCCCCAGGTGGCCTTGCTGGTACTCACGGGCTGGCTCTTGCTCTCTCCTCCGCTGGGCGCAGGCAAGAAGAGGCTGCACATCGGGGCGCTTTTCCCCATGACCGGCGGCTGGCCGGGGGGCCAAGCCTGCCTGCCTTCCGCCCAGATGGCCCTCGAGGACGTCAACAGCCGAAGGGACATCCTGCCCGACTACGAGCTGCGTCTCGACCACCGCGACAGCGAGGTGAGCGGAGCCCCACGCCTCACCTGTCCCAGCGCCCAGGTGGGGACAGGTGGGCTTCCTCAGGGGGAGGGAAGGGAGAGGGCCCTCGGTTGCGGCAGGGAAGCCTCCCCCCCCCGTTACACTGGAAGGATGTGGGAGAAATGAAATTGAGAGAGGGGGACGTTAGTTGTGCCTTATAACCAAGGTAGTTCTGTGTGTGCAGTGGGATGCTTAAGCATACTGGGAAAATCTTGGAACAAGTCCTCCTCACCTCCAGATCATGCAGGGACCCATCTGTAAATGGAGACCAAAGCGGCTTGGCTTGGAAAGATATTTTAAAAGATGTCGGTCTACGCAACTAGGGTATTCTTAGGGGGAGAGGTTCATAGAAGGATGGAAAGAGAAAGCAGCCTTCAAAGTAGAGATGTGGAAATCCTGGAACTGATCTTGATGGGGGAGCAAGGGTGTGTGTGAAAGTTCAACTCGTAGGACATAGGACGGGAAGGATCCACAAGAAGGCTAAAAGATGAGGGAGAGGACAATAGCAGGACTAAGTTGGCATTCAAGGGTTTCAAGCTATGTGAGAGGGAGAAACGGTGAGCATAATCCCACAGAAGTCCTTCTTTTGCCATCCAACTTTTAACAGAACCTTTGGGCCAGAGCCTCATTTGGTATGATCCTATGCAATTTCTCACTTCTTTGCAAGAGCTGGTGGAAGTTGGTCAAGCTTGGGCAACTCCAAAGAACTCCAAGACGAAATGAGTTATGGGGCACTTGGGGTACTGCCACAGACAATGATTAGAGTATCTGGTGAAAAGAATTACCTGGAAGACCAGGGGTGGCAGAGAGCTCTCATAGGGTGCTATGGTCCAACATAGCAAGAAAGTAAACAGATGGAAGAAAGGTGGGACTGGAGCAGTGACATTGGTGCAACCATTGGAAGCAAAGTTTGAAGAGCATTTTCAGAAATGGAGCTTGTGGAAGGGATTGGTGCTGGAGGCGCAAGAGAAAGAGTCATTTGGAGATTCCAAACATGAGAATGACTCAGTTAACAATTTGCTAGGGTTCCCACGTAAAGACATGTGCCGGAGGAAGATGCATGTTTTTAATGTGAGAAGGAAGAAGAGGAGAAGCAGCAACAGCAAGAGCAAAGAATTAACCCTCTAAAAGGAATGAAAGTTGAGAAGTACATTTTAGGGAGCTGGCTTAAGAGTGGTTTGTACTTGGATAAGGGACCACCAGAAAATTCTTGGCTTTAGGCTAGACCCGAAAAAGATCCCAGCAGGGGCAGCAGAAAATCTTTCCGTGCAACTGCCAAGACAACTGTGTGAATGCAGGGATGCACTTTCCAGGATTCAAGTTCAGCTTGAAGAAAACTATATCAATGAAGGAAGAATTTTTGTAGCTCATGGTTGAAATGAGGGAGTCCTCTCTGGGCTTGGTTGTTTTCTTGTAGACTTTCATTACCCAAACTAGGTAACATCATCAGTGCTACTCTAATTGGCTAACTTGAGTAGCACAGATGATATTACCTAATTTGGATAATGAAACATCTACAAGAAAACAACCAAGCCCAGAGAGGACCAAGGATCCCTCAGAAAACTGTGTCCTTAATGGGGCTTATAGGACTGGAGGCCTTGTTGTCAGCATAGCAGTTTCTTGAAGATAATACAGTACATTCTACAACAGTTGGTAGTTTGGTTATTGGGTTTTTTTTAGGTATAGATCTTAAATGGGAGGTCACTATGCCAATAGTCATGAAAGGTTGATTGAGGTAGCATCACAGACGTTACGAGACTCTCTTCACTAGAGTACCAGCCATGTGGATAAACCGAGAAAAGACCTATAATCTGATTCAAGGTTACAGGTAGTCCTTGACATATGACCCCCCGAACTGGGACCAGAATTTGTGTTTGTTAAGTGATTCACACCCAATTTTACAATTGTTTTGTCCTGGGTATTACGCAATCAGCGAATCAGGCTTCCCCCATTGACTTTGTTTATCGGAAGCCGGCTGAGAAGGTTGCAAATGATGATCACATGAACCCCCGGGACATTGCAATCACTGTGAATACATGAGAGTTGCCAAGTGCCTAAATTTTGATCACGTGACAGTGGGGATTCTGTGACCGTCGCATGTGTGAGGACCAGTAAGTCACCTTTTTTCAGAACAGTCCTAATTTCGAATGGTCATTAACTGAACGGTTATAAGTTGAGGACCCCCTGTTTTCTACAGCAGTGTTTCTCAGCTTTGACAATTTGAATGTATGGACTTCAACTTCTGGCTGGGAAATTCTGTGAGTTGATGTCCACAAATCTTAATGTTGTCAAGATTGTGAAACACTGCTCTAGGGTTATAGATGTGGGTGGATTTTGGTGCAGGTTCTGTGAGGAGGAACATAGAGAGGAGCATTCATCTCCTTTTGAGCCAATGTTGATGTGAAATTCCGCATCCTCAGAGCACCAGTTCCTGCCCAAACCAAAATATTCCAAAGTCAGTTGCAAATAGGGTTGAATAGCAAATGCTCCCTAAACCAGATCTTGCTCTTGAAGTATAAACATCCTTGTCAATCACCCTCTCTGCTTCTCAACATTTCATTTTTTAAATTCATGTGCCTCCCTCAAGAAAGACTGTACAGAAAAAGATTGTGCAGAGAATCAGCATGGTACTTCCAGGGACCTAGCTTTGGTCATGCCCAATTGTTTTATGTGCTTTCATTGCACACTCACATGCTGTGTTCTTCATCCATTTAGGTCTGCATGCACCATTTCTGACTGATAACAATCTTGAGTCGTTCCATTTGCAGTCATTGCTCTCTAATATGTGTTGGACAACTCCCCTTGTTTGTTAAGTTCTTATTCAATCCTTTGTCCTTTTGCTTTTACCTCTATATGTTTTTTTTAAATATTTTCCCTCATAATCAGCTGTATTAGATGAGTTCTTGTGCACTGAACAGCACAATGTGCCACAAATAATGAATGGAAGAGAAACCGGGGTGCTGTTGTAAAATATTATTTCCTGTGTGGTTTAAGCCTTTTGGAATGTGGGTTCCTTGGTGCTCTCTGAGCTTGGCTGTTTTCTTGCAGACTTTCATTACCAAACTAGGTAAGTGCACTGATGATGTTACCCAGTTTGGTAATGAAAAGTCTGTAAGCAAGCAACCAAACTCAGAGAACACCAAAGATCCACAGTTCAACCCTGGGCTACAAATATTCTCTTCTGTAGTTGCCTTCTGGAATGTCCTTCAGGCTAGATAACAACTGGGAAGAAGCCACGTCTTTTACCCCTAACTGGAGTAGACTCCTGGTTTTCATCCTCAGCACTGTAAAGCCCATTACGGTATGAGTGCTCATGCCACATATTGCCATAATTGGACCGTGTTTTTCTTCCTAAGATTGGAAATGAACCAAACCATTTCTGCTCTTTCTTGTGGCTTTCCTGAGATATTTTCACTGCCATTGGGTCTACGTGTACCTACGGAGTGGTGGTCTCACCCTGAGCCTGTTAATGTGGTCCTGATGGGCGTATGTGGGCAAGATTTCCCAAAACGCCCATCTTAACTTCCTCATTTGCTTCAACTCCTTGCCTTAAAGATTCTTGAACTGACTTTGGCAACTTGAGGCAGGCCACATTCCTACAAACTTTCCCACACATGATGCTCAAGTTGAAATCCCTGTAGCTTTTGCCCAGCTACCCAAGGGCTGTGCACATTAGCCCTTTCCCCCTCCGTCTCATCCTAGGGCACAAAGCAACGTGGCCCAGTTGCCACCATCCTGCCCCATTCCCTTGCATGGAATTTCTGTAAATTTTATTATTATTATTATTCTCTGCTTCCCTTATCAGTCTCTGCTCACATCCATTCCTCTACCCGTCAGTCTGTCTGGTCGTCTGTCCCTTCTCCCACACACACCTCCCTTCCCTGCCCTGTCTGTTCCTGTTTCTCTCTCCCTGTCTTCTGCTCTCCTGTGGTTCCCAGTCAACCGCGCCCCCCCATAGCGTTCCCTTTGTTCCATCCCTATTGAAGCCCGCTCCCTGGTGCTGACAGGTTGCCGTGGCAGCGCCTGCCTGAGGTTTCCATGGAAACTGATCCTCTTTTTTGGGGCGGCGATGCCCTGAATAATTCATCATCCCCTTGTGGAGGCTCATAGCCAGGAACAGGACCGGGCACATGGATGTGGGGGGGGGGGTGTAGAAAAAAAAACAGCAGGAGGGTCTTGGGTGGCACATTTGTTCAAAGATAGACAGAGCGAGGCAGGGGTTAGACAGAAGGTGCAGAGTTAGGGAATAGTTATAGGTGGGCATCGGTTGCATGCTCAAGCCCGTTGGAGGTGTGAGGAACCTTTGGATGGCTAGGATGAGAGTAATATTTTTGAGGGTGAAGGTTTGTTCTCCGAGCTTGTGGTTCGTTTCTGAACATTTTGTTACCAGGCTAGGTAACATCTTCAACGCCGCTGACGACATTACCTAGCCTGGTGACAAAACATTCAGAAACCAGCCACAAGCTCGGAGAACGAACCTTCATCCTCATCCTACACCCAAGCTACAGATATTTGCCAGTGATATTTTTGCATGGCCAGAGAGCACAGTGGATAAAAGGATAGCGCAGGATGGCTTTGTTTTGTGGTAGAGTTGGATTTTTTTTTCATTTACTGTTTTGGTTAGGTTAAGCCTCCAGTTGGGTGTTTTCCACCTACACCAGGAGTCTTGAAACGTGGCCCTTTTATGAGTGGTGGACTTCAACTCCTAGAATTCCTCAGCCAGCAGGCCTGGCTGAGGAATTCTGGGAGTTGAAGTCCACCAGTCATAAAAAGGCCACGTTTCAAGACCCCTGATCTACACATTTTAGGAAACTGCCACCATTTTTAGCAGCTGCGATCTTAGGTGGCTGTGGGGAATCGCAGAAAAGAGTCTCAGGTTGCCTATATTCTGCCTTAATGGGAGGTGAAGTTTCATTAGCCAACTTGGCTCCAACTCCCAACCTCTTAATTGGAGAGTCCTCAGATGACTGGACGTTGAGAAA